TGCGTGTTGTATGAGTCATAAGGAACGTAATCTTTATAAATCGGCTAGTAAAGTTATTGCCAAACTTGTCTACTTAGATATACAGAAAAGAAATCATTTTTTTTTCAAAAATATCTTTATTTTTTGCATTCTAATATAATAAATCCTAAAATAAAATTAATAACGTTTTAACGTTGAATAAAGATAAGTTATTTGCATCAATACATTTTGTGATTCAACAAAGAAAAATTATATTTTTATTATCCAAAAATAATTTTTTCATGAATGAAAAGTACAAAATATTGGATTCAAAATATTATGTTTTAAAATGTTGGAAAAGAGAAGGTATATAAAAAGAGATATTATTATCAAAATAATCATATTGTAGGGGAGAGCGGGGCACAGAAGACCGCTTAACATTCTAAGGTTAATAAACAATTTATCAGTTATAAGTAATGGCCCAAAGTTGCTCAGCATGTACCTACAAGGGTTATGCATACGCAGATAAAGCATTAGTTTAATAACTGTAAGAGATTTTATTTTAGATATTAAAATTGTTGGAAAGAAAAATGGTATTCTGTGCCCCAAACACGTGTGTTTGGGGCACAGAGGACCATGTATGATTTTTTATATATGTATGATAATATTTCGCATATTATACATATAAGTAGAAACAGAGTAATAAAAATAAATTTATCATAACTTTATTATTTCCAGATAACACATATGTGTGTGTGTGTGTGTGTGTGTGTGTGTGGAAATATATATGAAGTGAAAAAAACAATGTTTTATTGGCATTTCTTTTTTCATTTTTAATTAATAGGTACATAATAAGAATATATTTATTATATAATAACGAAAAAGTATTTATTTATTATAATTAATATATATATATATTTTTTTTTAATATATGTGCCCCAAACACACACTTTACAATAAAATACATGTATTTATATTTATATGACAATGTAAAAATAATGTAAATATACACATAACTTCTTTAATGTATTTTGGATACGTTATGAAATTTGATTTCACAATAATAATATTATGTCATTATTTTATACGAACATATTAATATTACATTTTAACAAGTGCACCTTAAAAAATGATCCTTTCACGGTCTTTTCGTTACAATATTCTCTGTAAGGTTTATTTACATGGCCTACTGTCATTACACTATTAGCGGTTGCCTGTTTATTATAATTTCTTCATTTTCAAACAGATGGCGTTTGTTTATCTATGTTTTATAAGCGATGGTTTTCTGTACTTCCCTGGTCCCGCTTTCCTCTATTTCTTATAGTATTCAAATAGTATTCAAATATTCATTATAGTATTCAAATATAATGATAACATTGTTGAAATTCAGGACTTTAGAGAATTCTTTTAAATTATATATTGTTGCTTATGAAACAATGATTGCCAATTTGAGTATAATAGTTTTAAATAGGTACTAACTTTTTTCTGTATATTAAAAAAGTAATTTGTTACCATCACCCACTCTGAAAAATATCTCATTGCCGTTATTATTATTTATTTTGAAAAATATCCTTTGGCGTTATTGTTATTCATTTTGAAAAATATCTCGTTACCGTTATTCTTAATCGAGAGATAACGAGTCGTTACAATTTCCATTACAATTTTCACCAAATTTCGAAGACTTTCCACAATTCACGCAAGACTTTCCACATATTTTACACTTTTTTTTATTTGAATATGTTTATTACAATCTTAAACAAAAAATAAGTAATATTTAAATAAGTAATATTTCGGGCAAACGTTAGTTAGACGTGTGTTGAGTTTTAGATCATTATTTAAACTCGAAATAAATTAACAAGGTAATAATAAGAGATCAAATTACTTATATATATATATAAATATATAAATGAATATAATATAAGATAGATATATTAGTTTTAATTTTAGCTTGATTTCATTTATTATTGTATGACTATATCCAGTGGTTTTCTGCGCTTGAGTATTTTACAAACACAAAGTAACAATTATATTTTCGCTACTGTCATCTCAAAATGTAACTGCGTTACCGTTGCAATCACTGACACAGAGGGAAAAAACGCTAAAGAATAACGCCGCTATCAAGTTATTGTTGAAGGGAAGCAACAGCGACATTGTTACAAGAAAGGTAGCCAAGCCCAAATGATCGTCACAACAACGATTCGGCTTCATATATTCATGTCACGTAACACAAATCGCCTCATGATTACACTCTATATCCCACGAGCGCTCTAATTTAACACGAGAGTTATCGCTATCATGCGTAAGAGAAGTAGCGGGCGTTAGATAAACAAGCCCGAACGCGACGGAGCGACGGTATAAATGTAGCTTATGACGAGCGTCAATTTTTCATTGCGTCACTTATGACTGATCCTCGCGCGGTCGCTTACTCGGAGTCAGCTGCCTTCTGAGTAGCCACCTTCGATGACGATAATAAATATCCATTAATGTAGCCGGAGCGAGTAGGGGGATAGTTATCGCATCGCGAGCTACAGAGGCAGATGACTCGAAGAAGGTCCAGCTGCCTTCGATCACTAGCTCATTGTCGGGACCATCCGCTCGCCGGAGAGATGCGAGCAAACGGGAAAAAAAGCGTTAAAAAGAAAAGAGAAGGTGGAGAACGGACGCGATTCCTCGTAGCCCATTAAAACTTCGACTGCCGGCGCGAAATTCGCGGGCGTGTTGTTACGTTGCAATTAGGCGCCGCCGTTAAAAGAACGGCGTCGGCCGTGCAAAATTATTAATAGTGCATATTACGCGCGGCGTGTACGACTGACAAGTATGCAGAATTATCTTTCTCTCATTTTAATTTCCTCGCCTCAATCTCAATAACATTCGTTACGTGTGTCTATTAAAACGAGGAGAGCGGTTATATCGGCCGTGGAATCTCCGTTGTCGGGGCATACGCGAATATGAATCCTAATTAGATTGGTGAAAAACGCAGTGTAATATTTCTTTCGCGAGACAGAGCTTGACCAGAGATCTCCCTCTCTGTCTCCCCTTTCTTCCCCACTTTTTCTCTCGCTCCTCTTTTTTCTCTCTCGTCTCGGCGACCTTTGTCTCGAGATGGTTCACTTCACCTCATATATTATCGACCGCAGCAGCAGCAGGTGATATCTGTGAATACTGACTCACGTGAGCACGTACACACCGGTATGAGACTGGGAACACGTATTTCGGAGAAGAAAACAGATGAAGGACACGGCGCTCCGCTCTCTGATGCTTATCTCCTTTTTCATTAACTCTTTTGATATTAAAGATAGCTGTAATCGGCCGACACACTGTACCCTTCTCGCACTGAAGCCGTCGGATGATTGAAACATCTCTAAAAATAGCTCGGAAAGAGTTCGTAGCAGTCGGCGAAAAATATAGACGAAACACGGAGACGCGTTTGTTACGAAATTGGTTTCATTCGGAAGTCTCCTCTCGTAGAATACATACGTAGAATACAATTCCATTTGTCAATATGTTTCTCTTGAGGGACGTTTTGTTCGCTAACCCAATGTTGTCGGGAAAGACTTTCAAGGAAGTGTTGCCCGCATGAGTTTCCGCGAAAATTAAAAATACGCTAGGATTCCTATTTTCTTTGGAAGGACGTATGATTAAGATACAGTTAATGTATGTATAAGATGTAGTTGAATAACATATTTCTACTTTAACATCACATTTTTATGGTTTACCTTGTTTTATATTATTTCTGAATTTTAAAGTTTTTTCTTTCAGAACCGCAACGAAACTTTGCAAATTTTTATATACTTCACTATCATTTTAAATACTTAAAGTACATATATACAATTGAGATTTTTGTCATTATTTTTTATTGTTGTTTTTGTACTAAAGTTAGCAACATCATATATTTTGCCATAACAGTACGGTTTAAAATACTCTCAAGCAGTAAGATGACGTCAATTGATGTATTAATGATATGTCATTATCGTTAGGGTTATTAGGTTACAGTTCAAAGTGGAATAATTTTTATCCGGACTCTATATCACTGTCAAATTGTTTGTGTGATCACTTTTAGATGTAATATAGATTAATTTCTATATATTCAACAAAATTTTTTCATTATTTTTGAAGTATGTGCACAATGAATTTTCAGAGTAATAGCTGATATTTATTTCTTAACGCATTCGATTCTGAGAAAACGTAATAAAAAGATCTCACAAGATATACGCCAACTACATGAAAAAAAAAACATTCATAGTCGTATGCAAAAAAGTCTAAAAATTAATCCAGATATATTTATAAAAAATCTAATAGAAATCTTATAAAAAAAAACGAAAAGAGAGAGAAAAAAGAGAGAGAGAGAGAGAGAGAGGGAGAGAGAGAAAGAGATTTTAGGAAGGTGAGAAAAATAATCCCGAGAAGACGTAATCATTTTACCGATAAGATAAACCAAATATTTATTTTATCTCGACGGCCTCCTCTCAGAGCAAATCTGACGATTTGTGAGAACTGATCAAATTCGCATATTATTTTTATAAGTTGCCCAAACTGAACGTTCGGCTTCACCAGTGGAGTCAATACACGCCACTAGCGTTGATTCTAACGGCGGAATTTGGCGAAAATTCGGACAAAAATAGATGATAGGATCGACTTCCGCGCGACACAATTTACAGATCGTCAATTCGAGTGACAAAAAGATATATATACGTGGCCCGATCCGGCTGCGTATTGTTACCTTGGGTAGCAGGTGCCACCTTACATGCTCCGGGATGAACAGCACGCGTCCCGACAAGAACGCTCTTAACTCTTTGCACACGCGCGCAAACGCATTCCGCATCTGCAAGATGGTACGGCGGTTGCAGATGCACGGACGGCTATCTCTCGTGGCGTCCCGCGTGCGCGAGCGATAATATTGTTGATCCATCGATCCGGCGACAAAATTACACAAGCGGGAAACACCTTGCGTGCCTTCAGCCTGTCTCTTTTCTCCCTTTTTTTTATTTGCATGCCTATATAAACACATAATTTGCAGATGGCGTTATTTGATGCGTAAAATATGAGGTATTTTAAGTAATAATATTAAGGTAGTATTAACAATACGCGTATTGACAATAGAAATTAGGTAAGGAGAACTAAGTTTCAGGGTTACACAGATCTGCACTAAGAAAAAAATATTAAAAAATTGACAAATATTTATTTGGTGGATTTGTATTAACATTTTTCGTGTTATTTTAATGTTATCCATGTTATGTATAAAATAAACTGAACATTTAGTTCAATGAGACGATCTCTACATTGACTCAATTACATTATCGGTCCAATTTGCTCAACTACTTTTAACCACAGATAGACTTACTTGTATTTTTAATTTAGATTAATGTCTTAACAATTGGACAAACATCTATATCATATATACAAAATTACATTTCAGTTTTATTAACTTTTAAACGTTAATGAAATTTCGTAGTTGAAATTTCTGTATCGGATTGTTTATCTGACTTGACTTTATTTAATTTGACCCAACTGCAATGAGCATCACAAAATCTGAGCCTTAGTTCTTCACCGAGAAGAGAAGCGTTAATGAGACTTAATGAGAGTTAATGAGACTTTGCTTGAACGACCAAAATTCGTCTAAACAAACATTTAGTCGATTGAACGAATTATAACGTTACTACGACGACAGTTACCAATTGATTTGGTCAATAACTATATCAACGCAATTTATTGTTGCACTAACACGTAATTTGTTAAAGACACAATATTTCTTCGCAAACGAATAACCACCGATTTTATCGATTCAATTATTTCTTTTCTCAATATCTTCACACCTAATTATTTTTTTATGCGGATATCATATTATTCTCAAGTTTCAAATGCAATTGAAAGTTTTATATCAGATATTGCCTATTTGATTAAATTTTTATTCAATTTGACTCGATTGCAGTTTGTACAATTACACTGAGAAAAAAATATCTAAAAATTAACAAATATTTATTAGATGGGTATTATTAACATGTTTACGTAAATCAAAATTCTTTTCATTTAAACCGAATATTTTTTATTCGATCTAAATGAAGAGAATTTTGATTTAAATAAATATGTTAATAGTACCCATCTAATAAATACTTATTAACTTTTTAATATCTTTTTTCTCAGTGTGAATTAATCATTAAATTTACATCGAAGTATATATTAGTGATAGCGCAGATGAATATTGATCGCTAACGTAGGGCAGGTCTGCTCAGTGGGTGTTGTCACATGATGAAGCCGCTTCAAGTAACTTCTTGCGATTCGACTCTCGATTGCGCGTGCATCTTCGTGGCTTGTTTTCATACTTCAGATTTGCACGCCGGCATGGTTAAGTGTTTCAAGTGTCTTCTCGAATCGCCGCGATTTCCATTAAATTTACTTTACACAGTGACGTAAATTTTTTGTTATATTGATACAGCGACAAATTTACTAAAAGTAAGTAAATTTGCAAATTTACTTACAAATTTTCATATTACATTTTACATAACATATTATTTTGAACAAATCTCGAAAATCTGTTGTTTCTGTTGTATTTCTATTTCGTTTTATATGTTAAATATGAGTGCTGTATGAACCGCTCATAAGAGAGGCAAGTAAAACGACTAATAAAGTCGCTGCCAAATTCACATACATGTGTCTAACTTGGTAATGAAGATCCGACGAGAGTGTTGCCGCAGATTGCTTCTCGAGAAGAGACTCCCCTCTTTAGACTTATTCTGTTTTCCTCTCTTCTTTTTCTCTTTTCGCAAAACACCGTTACGGTTAACACGTCTGATACGCGGTGGATCGATTGACGCAGCAATTAGCGAGTCGCTTGCGCGGCGATCGATATTGCGTACGCGCGGGAAGCCTCCGACTACGGCGGACATATGCGGCGGCGGCGGCGGCGGCGGCGGCGGCGGCGGCGTTTCGCCGGCTCCGATTCCCGGTGATAAAAGGGTGAGAGATCAACGGCCCAGACAGACGGAGGATCTCGGTATTCACATCTTGAAAGCTGCCGGCACGCGCCTGCAGCAAGGTGTGCCTCTCACTTTATTCATCTACCTCCGGTCTTTGGGCGCAGGAGCAGCTGTTGCCGGGCCGGAGCGCATGGCGCGTGCCACCAGGTACCTATATAATAAACCGGGAGATAATGCCAGGGTGCGTGGCACTACGCCACCGAAGACCCTTCGAGGAGTAGAGCCGATCGGCTAGCGAGGAAGAGAGAGAGAGAGAGAACGGTTGAGGGAGCAAGCGAGAGAGTGAGAGAGAGAGAGAGAGGGAGACCGTGCGGCTTTTTAGCTTCTACACGATCGAGGGGAGATCGTCGGCTGTGACGTGGCACGTAGGTGGGTGCGAAAAGTTGATCGCCTTGGATCGGACAACGTGAATTCGCTTGACCGTTTTTAGGTCCTCGCGAGACACACACATACACACGTGGTCAGACATATTGTCCGCTCTTCATCCTATCTTCGCTTGAGGTTGAACGCGACTTATCTTAGAAATTCTTCCTCGTCGAGAACTTTATATCGACCTGGAATGTGTACGTTGGATATCTCGATTTACTTGATCTCTCTCTCTTTCTTTCTCGCGTGAATGATATACTAACAGGAATGCGCGTAGCGATCGTCTCTGCCATCATCCATTCGTGTAGTTCGGAATTAATTACTTAATGTCGGCATAACATCTGTCATTATCTCTTTATTGCGGCCGCACCTTCCTTCGTTAATTATCACGATTGCGGGGTGTATTTCGACTATATATTTAATGGCCGATCTCTCCTTCAAATTGATTTTTCTGAAATTTAATCGTGATTTTGATATTTCTATTTGGATTCGCTTAGAGTTATAATAGCTCTCTGTAATAGAAATAACGGGAATCTCTATAACAGGAATAATAGGAGAAATAGATTTCCTCTATCATTCCTATTATAATGCACTATAGACATTATGATTAGAAAAGTTTGTTCTTTAAATCATAATAATAACTGTACGACTCAAAAAGATATTAATTTTTCCAGAATCCTCTTATATAGGCTGTCTGACAAATGTTCCAATAACTAGATATCAAGATTAGATCAAATAGAACACAAAATTCCTCTATCATTTTATAAATAATCTACGTAGATTTTTGAGTTATTAATTAAAGAAAATTGGCAAATAATCATCGCGATATGGCGGGTGAGTTATAATAGCGAATTGTAATTGTATGTTTGTAAATTAGATTAAATTGAACAAAGATATTCATTTTGCAAACAACCACGTATAGATTTTTGAGTCATTAATTGAAAAAGATTAACGGATGATCGCGTGCGACAAAGCACCCATATTTTCGTTAATATCTGTTATTTCGTTAATAACTAAAAATCTACATATTAGCAAAATGTTAGAGCACTTTTGGGTTTTGTTTAATCTAATCTAGACACACGATGTCGTTATCACGACTTATCTGCCATATCGCGCGTAATTACTCGTCAATTTTCTTTAATTAGTAACTCAAGATTTTGCGTTGTTATTTGCAAAATGATGGAGAAATTTTGTATGTAGTTCGACCTAATTTTGACATGTATACGAGGTTACATGTCACTTTGCGTCACATATTCTGTATATAGTTTCATGAGGATTCTTCTAAAGTCAGAAAGAAAATATTCTGAACACAATATTTTTAAAGTTAGAGCAATTTCGTTTTTTATCTATAGTACTTGTCTTGTTTTTAATAGTCTTGTTTTTAATAGAAATTTCTTCTAATGAGAGGACAAGTAAACATTTTTCTTGATTCAAAAGGAAAAAAAAATTAGAATATGGTAGATTTCTAATTAATAGTTCGCTTTATTAGGAGAGGAATATCCTATCGGTAAAAATTTCCGTTAAAAATTTAAAATTACAAGAAATAAAACATCTTACAACTGGAGTTCTTTTTTTAGTGTTGGATAATTAGAAGGTTTCCTTTTAGAAGAATCCTCTTGAGTTTACAATATAAGAGGATTTCGTTAAGAAGAAGATTACAATTTTTTAAAATGAAATATTAAGTAAATTGGAATAAAAAGCGCTTTGAAAAGTTTGAAAAATAATTTTAGTGAAAAATAACAGCGATATAATGTCATTTTTTATCATATACTCAAAAAAAATTTATTCTTTTTACAAGATATTATAAAATTATTTTTATAAGAATTTTTATATTTATATTTTATTTTTATATTTAATCTACAAAAAAATATAAAATTGTATCCAAGAGAATTTGGCTCGACTCGATGCAGCAAGCAAACCGAATTTTTGTTTTAATTTGATATTCTTGATTGAAATGCTAAATATTTGTTAAAAGTTTGAAAAATAATTTTAGTAAAAAATAACAGCGATGTAATGTCATTTTTTATCATATACTAAAAAAATTTATTCTTTTTACAAGATATTATAAAATTATTTTTATAAGAATTTTTATATTTATATTTTATTTTTATATTTAATTACAAAAAAATTTACAAAAAAATATAAAATTGTATCCAAGAGAATTTGGCTCGACCCGATGCAGCAAGCAAACCGAATTTTTATTTTAATTTGATATTCTTGATTGAAATGCTAAATATTTGTTAAGATTTATTAGGATGTATTCGAATAAATGTGACGCTAATGATGAATTTATAACAGATTTGCAAATATATAAATTTATACACTTGATTAAATTAATACACTTGAAATAATTAACATTTACTTGAATGTACTTTTCTGTATGCACTCTTCAGATCTCTTTTGATATGTTATCGTAACGGCAATGCGGATTGTCCGGATAGAAACTTAAAATCATATTCGTTACGCGTGACCCATAAGTCAATTTAGAGGTTCCACCTAATCTGGGGTTTCATGTCTTCATCGGTATTACTGCCTTCATCGCCGGCATCGGCAACAATGAGGTATTATCTCGCATTATGCAGGGTGCACATCTCATATTATACGCGCGAATACCGGTGACAACACTGTTGTTTGCGAGTAACTGTATTGTTTCGTTTTACATGCGACTAACCGCGCTTGCGGCAGACCGATATTCGCGGACTGCACCAACCTGCAATAATCATCTCCGGATCCGTGAAGATCCCCCATTTCTCCTCGTCGATCGGCCGGAATTTTCGCGTCGACGATTTTCCATTCTGCATCAATGCTGACGAACGGAAAAAGAATCTCCCAGCTCTGCTCGACTAATTTTTCTTTTACTCATTATATTAGTTATTTGAAAGAAGATAATCTCTTACACGATTTGTTACAATCTTTTTATAATTTAAATTATCTAGAGTAAAGTTGCAAGATCAACTATACAGATTTTTTATATATACAGTTTTGTCTTTTTATCATGGCAAAATATTTGCAAAATACATAAAGAGAGAGTACAATATACTCTCTGAAGTACAATTAGTGTATTCTTCATTAAAATGCTATATTTATAATTAATGATTCAGTACAGCAGTGCAATCAGTAAAATCTACTTGAAAGTATCAATTCATAGCAGGGTTGCGAGTAATTAATTATTTTAATTAAATACTTTCTAAATTAATTATCGTGTTTAATTGATGATTAATATGAGTCAATTCAAACTGCTTAATTGACAATTGATTTTAACAAATTTAATCGAAAACCGCTCGTTTGACAATTGATTTCAACAAATTCGATTAGAGACCATTCAATTGACGATTAACATGAGCGAAGGGAATTAAAGATCGTTCAGTTCATAATAGAACTTAGCAAATTTAATTAAAGGAGGTTTAATTGACGATTGATATACTGCAAATTCAATCGAAGACTTCTTGGTGACGATCGATATGCTCAGTATTACTTTTAAGCTTGATCTATAATGTGTTATTTGCTTCTTGTTTCTTTTCCTTTATCTCTTTCTGACTCAAACCTTAGTCCTGATCTACAATAGATGTAGTAAGCTTTAAGCCGTAAGAAATTGACCAATTACGATTGATTATTCTTCTATAATTCGATTATGATTGGTCAATTTCTTAAAGCTTACTACACCTATTGTAGATCGAGACTTAAGCTTTAAGCCAGAAAAGACAGAAGACAAGAAACTGAACGCAAAGAGCATATTGTAGATCAGGCTTTAACGCAGGTCAATTATTGGCATTTTCCATTTGCAAAACCAATTATAATCTTGAGTAATCGGACACTTTTCGATTGAATCGATTACTCATAGTAATCGACAATTAAATGGCCTTTAATTAAATTTATTAAGTTTAACTGTTGATTGAACGATTTTTTATTCTCTTCACTCATACTAATCGTCAATTGATCAAATACTAAAATTAATCGATATTAATCGGTTTTTGATCAAATTCGTTGAAATTAATCGCCAATTACATTTTTTTATTTAGCTTGAATTTATGATTTGGCTTGAATGATTTAGCTTGAATCAATAGTTTAGTTAATAATTGAGTTGAAACATGTTTGTGTGTTCAAATCAGTTATTAAATTGAAAAAGACTTGATCAATATTTTCACAAATCTAGTTTAGATCTGAATTTCCCGTTATATCAGAGTTCTTTATATGTATTATACGATATTCGCGGAATTATATTTGCAATTGTACTTCAATTGAAAAAAAAAACTTCTAGCTGTAAGTTCAGATCTGAGTGTTTTACACTGTTAAATATTGGAGGGTCAAATTTAAACCAATTTCTTGAGTTAAATAATATTTAGTTATTTTTAATTGTTATATGTGTCAAAATTTACTATTTTAACACAAAACATGTGTTTAAAAAAACAACCACATCTAATCAACCCATTTAAAACAATATTAAGTCATTTTTTACTAAAACAAAGGTTACATTAACGTGCACATAATAAAAAATAAACTAAATTTTAGTTAAATTTAATACATTTCTTAAGTTAAATTATTTAACTCCATTACATTAGTTAAATTAACGACATATTTAGTACGAGCAGTGGCGACTTATAGGAATGGTTAAAAATAACTCAAATTGAGTATAATTTGACACTACGGATTTAACAGTGTATTTGAGACAAATTTCAAGCGATGTTTGTTAAAACGGCAGTACAATATCAGAGATCTCAAGATTTTAGAGAGAGAGAGGAAAGAGACGAGGAAAGAGAGATACTGACAAAACTGAGTATCGAATGTCGTCGCGACGGGTATATTAATTTTCTCTTCGATCTGATCACTGACCCCTTGACCAAGAATCGAGGGATTGATTGGTCAAGAGACTTCCGTTACTGTCACGAAGTAGGCCTGCCGTGACAACGGTCTCCTTCTAAGTCGCGACTGGTAGCCGACCTGCCATACAAACCAAGATATCGCGCCGCGCCGGTAGCTGCTTTAGATCTGGCGAATTTGCAAAATGATCACGCGTATCCTGTGCCCCCGCGCTGGCCACTGACTCGCTCTCTCCATGAGTTCAAGATAGAGCAGAATAATTCGCGCTTTGCATGCTGCGCGATGAGCCGAAGAATGCCGGAGCGTTGCGTCAATGTCGCTCGTTTCGATTCGATTATTCGTCTCGCTGGCGTTTCACGTCACAAGCGGACGTAACTTTACGCCGAAGTAATGAATAATCCTGGAACTTACGGAAGAACAGAAAAACAAATAAAACTGCTTTACTTCTTTTTTTTTTTCTTTTTTTAGAGCGAGCGAGCGAGCGAGCAAGAGAGAGAGATAGAGATAGATAGATAGATAGATAGAGATAGAGAGAGATAGAGAGATAGAGAGAGAGAGAGAGAGAGAGAGAGAGAGAGAGAGAGAGAGAGAGAGAGAGAGAG